GGGGGGGGGGTGCCTATGCTGATCGCATAAGAGAGAATTTGCCTCGCATATAATGAATTTGGGGTATAAAAAGGGTCATTGCATAAGAGTGAATTCACATATCCAGTACCCACATAAATCGAGGGAAACCTGTACATTGTTCCTGAGAGCATTTTTGCTGGAGAGGATGTGGAGCTCATCGTGTGTGTATGTCAAGATACTGTGAGGTGCCCAGAAATCTCTTCCTCTGGGAAATTTAGCAGAGTATTCATGTCCCCAGAGTATTTTTTCTGAGCTGCAGGAATATGTCCTCCTCACAGGCAGATTTAGCAGCATCCAGAGAAGCGGCTCTGGGAAGTCACCCCCAGCCTTCAGCTCCAATTGGCGGCCCAGTTTTGACAGGAACCTCTTGGGAACTCCTCAGGAACTCCTCTATCACCTCACACAAGAAGAGGGTCCTTCTTAGAATAAAGCCTTTATGCAAACAAGACAACACCAAGGCAAATTGTTTGCAAAGCAGAGGAAATTAGTTTTTAACCTTCCATTTGTTAATTTTTCTTTTCTGGTGGCTGATTAATTTTCCCTGCACATCACCTTCCAGCTGGGAGTGCTGTAACAAAGGGAGTGAGAGCTTTTACGGGAAAGTTAAATTAGGGTTGGTTATCAAAAGCACTTTGCACCATTCCCATTGAATCCAATGGTTAAATCCCTATTCAAAGATGTATGTAGTGTAACTAAGGTGGGGTGACTGGGGCAGGGGGGCATTGGAAATAACAGGTGCTGCTGCTGCTGGTTGGCTGTGCCAGCATCGTCAGCAGCTGGGAGTTGCCACTACCCTGTGCACTACTGCTTTCCAGGATGCCAAGCTGCCCTGTTGTTTCTCTGAGTTTATAAAATTGCAAGAGGCATCCTGGGCCCCTGGGTCCAGTCTCCTGTGCTTGCAAGAAAGTAGTTATTCCAAAAGTACCAAAAGCACTTCTTTTTCCAATCTGTCTCACTCACCATAGCCACAAAGCACCTTTTTCAGGAAAAACACCTGCAACTTGCTGAAGAGTGGGCACTATAAGAGCACTATCAATGCCTTCCTGTCCCAGAGAGCAGAATTAGGCCCATGCTAAGCACTAGTAGAAATCCCACCCTGCATTTCTCTCCACTGAAAGTTTTCAATGCACAACTAGGGTTTGTGTGAGGAGACTGCTTGTCCTCTTTGCCTAGTGAAGGACATCACCGGCGCAAAGCAGGTCATCCATTAGAGGCCTCATTCCTTCAGCAGCAGTGGCAGTGCAGCCTGGAAATAAAATGCCAGGCCTCCAGAAAAGCAGAGACTGGCTTGAGACAGAGTATTTTGATTCCAAGGCTTCCAAAATCCAGCCAGGATTGGATAGAGTTCCTGGTTTTGCACATGTCAGCTTGTTCACTTTGGAGGATTCCATTTCCAATGGGCAGAGTAAGAGATCCAAGTATGGGGACTGTTTTCCCTATGGGGTGGGTTTGCAGGCTTCCAGTCAGTTAAAAGGGTAGTGCAAGGGATAACATTCTGAAGCGACTTATCAGTCCTCAGCATTCTTCTCCCTGATGCCAGACAAATAGGATCTGGCTGGCACTCTACCTCTTCATTGAGCTTGGCCAGTCTGACCTGGTTAACATGCTTTGGTGAATATATCACAGAAGACTTGGGCCTCTGCACTGGGGTGATGCTGTCTCTCCAGTGAGTTCTGCTCCTGAAATTGATCTTTGCCATTCAAGTACTTGTGAACCAGGGATTAGAGCCCTGTCTGCATAGACAGGATTTAAACTGTATTCAGCAACTTGTGGATGAGGCTTCTAAAGCACTTTGGCCCATTCAGGCATGTAGATGAAGTGGCTGAAATTTCAAAAGCACTCCGCACTGTGGGAGATGGGAGGGATCCCTCCTTGAGCTTGAGCTGTGGGGATAGGGCAAGGGGAAGCCAGGCAGACCCTGCTGTGCCTGCAGTCTTTGACGGAGCTCTGGCTAGGGAGCAGAGGGGCAGGGTCAGCCCTCTTCTCTGGAGCAGACAGCACAGCCCAGGGCTGCAAAACATATGGGATGCTGGGGGACTCTGGTTTAACTTAAACCAGGAAGGGGTCTGGGACAGACATTGCATAAACCGTTTTGACTCAAATCAGTTATATCTGATACTACATTCAACCAGGTTTATCTTAAACCAGTTTCAGCCATTTTGAAGCTGGTTTATGTGCACTGAACTTATGTTCTGTTACAGGTTTAAACCAGTTTCTTATCACTTAAACTGGTTTGTGTGTAATGTCTGTCCCTAGCCATAATGAAACAATGTCTTGGCCAAAGACAGAACTCCTATCTCCTGACACACAGTGCCTGGCTCTAACCATGTGCTTCTTCTATATCCCAGTTTTTAGAGCAGTGTTTTGAGTGTGATTTAAACATGTCATTTTTATCAATACATCAGAACCGGGGTTTGTAGTGATTATTGGTTTCTGTGACTCAAATGATACATTCTGGAGTTCAGTTCCTCTCAATGTGGAGGTGTTTACCTGTAGCTTATTCTGATCAGTCACACTTTGGTTTGGAAGTTTCCATTTTCCAAAACCAAAGAAAGATTGTCATGACTGTTTCCAGCCTATGGGCTGCAAGGTACAATATGCCACAGCTTGTGAGAAAACTAACACAGAACCAATCACAATCCAGCTAACTAGTTGCATTAAACAACCAGCTTGTTGGACTCAATGTTATATCCATACCGTGTCCCCAGTAGGTGCTGATCAGGACATTCCCAGCATGCCCTACCCATCTACTCTTGCTGTCATGCTCCAAACCCAGAAATGCACTGTTGGACCCAGTCCTGCACCAGCCCCTACTGCTCTCCCCCAGCGATTAACTTTTAAGATGTTGGTCTCTAGCATTCTTGAAAACAGTTACTGGAGACATTCTCATAGTGACCTTACTGTCACATTTCCAGCTTTGGCACATACAAACAGGAGTGGGTAGGCAGGGTATTCTGGGGGTGAGTCTATTTCAAGACACAGGCTAGACATGCCCACTCTGCCCTTGCATGTTGTGGTTTTTGCTCCTATGATGGCATTTCATCCAGCCCCAAGGCCCCACTTGGGCCAGTATGTGCTGCATAGCCAGTTGTTGCTTCTTGCACCATTCCTTTAGGTGCTTTAGAATCTGAGTTCTTGTTTAAAAATAAGCCACTAAGGACCAAAGCCACTTTCACTTATTAGGCGCTTATGTGTGATTCCATTCCACCCTGCTGTAGTCCCTAAAAAACAGTTTATGCAGCAGGTGGTGAGATCCCTCTTCCCGATCAGTGTTTCCTGTGACTTAGCCTGAAGGTTAATATGATATAAGGTTAAAAAGTGGGCACATTAATGTTCCTTTGGTGGAAGAGGATCACACATAGATGCCCAATAGGTGGAATAAGATCAGGCCTTCCATGCTATGAAGTCTGAGAGAGTTTTCAGATACCTCTGGCCCATCATTGGCTCCTGGATCTTTGTGTCACAGTTACTCAGATGATGTAACCATCCAAATCCATGCCCCTAACCAGATCCTGTGATCTATTTTCCTTTTCTCAGGCAAAGAATTTGAAGGTGAGGAAGAGTACCTGGAGATACTCGGGATCACGCGGGAGCAGTCGGGCAAGTACGAATGCAAAGCTGCCAATGAGGTCTCTTCCGCAGATGTCAAGCAAGTCCGGGTCATTGTGAACTGTGAGTACATTGCCACCATGCTGGGGGCAGGGAGAGGTGGCAGTGAACAGATGATGGCAGCAGGAGGAGGAGAAGTTGTCATATCTGATTGAAAATAATGCTGACATCCTGAGCCCTGATTCTGTTCAAAGGAGATAGGAGGGACACTTATGTCCTTGGACAGACCTGCATGGATTGCACTGAAATCAAAGGGAGACCCACCCAAAGCAGCAAGAGTTCATTTGACTTAGTGACCAATATAGAAAGAGGGTATGTGAGGGTTCCTATCTCTTCTTACTAGAGAAGAGGTTTTTAGTGACTAGTGTTCAGGAGAACCATACTGTGAAAAGAAGCTTTCACAAAAAGCCAGGGGTAGAGAAATTATCAAGAGCCAGATTTAGGAGTGAGGTGTAAAGTGTAAACTTCATTCCATTAAACTTACTTAAACTTTTCTTTAAACTAACTCAGCATCCTTGCATAAGCTGAAACACATTCTACTAAAGGGCCTATTCAGGTCTCACTTATACATTTGGTTGCTGGGGGCATGAGGGTAAATGGTGTCCATGAATAATGGGATAGGATGGGTGTGCTTCACCTTGCCCCTTCTCACATAAAGTACCGCAACACAGACCCTACACACACAAGGAAAATAGTTAAGTGTCTGTCTGCAGCACAGTTATTCTACTGGCTGTCATGGTTTAGGGGCATGATTAACTTAATGTGTGGTTTGTGCCCATGTGCCCAATGGTTCATAAGCAGTTACTGACTGGGAACACATTACCCTTGCTCATGGGCTAGTCTGGCCCGTGACTCAGATCCATCCATGGTGATATTATAAAGTGATATGGCATAATACTTAACATGTAATTCTAGATGTTCTTCCCTCTCTGATTCTGTGTGGTTAGTCGTCTCCTGTGCTCTGTTGTGTGTCTTGGATGACACTCATTGGACGTGTCTACGCTGTAATTTACAGTGTGGCACACAGATGTCTGAGCTGGCTTTAAACGAGCTAACGCAGGTAGCTAAAGCAGGCTAGCTGCAGCAACACAGATCTCAGCGTGTGATAATTTACCCTGTTTCTCGTTTAGAACTACCACAGGAATTTGCACACTGCAGCCTGTCATGTAGACATATCCTTTATGTCTGCACCCTAGTGACTCTGTAAGGTCTTCTCTAGATGTTCAGGTAAAGGCATGATAGGATCCAGTGTACAATCTACACAGTCACGGCTCCTGCCATGCCACACATGCATGGCAGGAGGTGTGATTGTGGGATCCAACATCAGATCCTATCATGCCTTATTGCCAGTGTAGGGGGAGCTTGGGATAGCTATCCAAGGCTTCCACTGCACCGGCAAGTAGCAAGCTTCTGCAGCTGAAAGTCCCACAGCTGGCAGAATACACAGCCACGGTAGTGTCCCAAGTGCAAATTAAAGCTAGATAAAAACCAGCTATAAAGTTATAACACATTTTCAAGCTCTAACTTTAAAGCTGGATGGACCTTTTTATGGCCTGATAATAATTATTTTGCACATGTTGCTACTGTAAATTAATTGCACAATTAACCAGTTAACTATATAATACAAGTAATATGTAGAGTCCTCCCCTTCCCTCCCCCCTCCCCCCCGAAAAAAAACATACAACCCCAGCAGATTTACCTGGCTATCTCCCCTGGCTTTCAAATGTGGGAGCCACATTTAAATGCATCGTGCTTGAGTATATTGTAACTTCTTATCTCCACAGCTTGCATTGTTTTTAGAATTGCAGCACTTATTATTGTTTAATAAAGAATAACATTTGGGGGAAATATCTTCAAACAATCTACCGCCGTGTGGAGGCACATGCCTAAGCAAATCATTTTATTATCGAAAGGAATTAATTTAGCACAAATGAAAGCAATTGGAACTAGTAGAAACTTTCCAGAATGATATATTTTCCTGTCAGAAATGGATATGTCAATTCAGAATTTGTTTCAATACAGTCAGCACAGTCTCATGATGTGATATGATATATGTGATGTGATATTAAATTGTGTCATAATGTATCATATACTGTTGACTATTAGATACTATGTCAATTCATAATATGATATAATAGGATATACCATGGCACAGCATAGTATTATATTTTGTTATTAGTATGTGATGCAATTTAGAAGAGGAAAAAAGTCAAAATTTCAGGAATTACCCCGAACAGGAATTCCAACTTCTGACCAGATCTAATAATAATTAAAAGAAAAGTTCATCAGTGGCTACACAGAATCCATCACACTCATCTGGCCTTCCCTCCCAGCTTTAGCATAGAACATCCCCTGTCTTCCTCACTTGCATAGTGTGAGCAGCCATGTAAGTCCCAAGGCTGGTGAGGGTCTGGGGAAATAATTTAAAAAAATTGCCTCAAGTAGCTGATTTGTCTGTGCATTGCCAATCACAGATATAATGGAGCACACAACATGCAGGCACAATTGCAGGAATATACTTTGAATCAAAGTCACTGGGCTTCTCTTGGCATGAACATCTCCCCCGTCGTGGACCAAGTCACCATGGTTCTAGGTACTGCACAAACTGAATGAAAATACAGCCTCCCTCGCCATCCCTTCATGTTACAGGAGTACGCCAAATGGTTAATCACAGAATTAGAGCTTGGCTTCCCCAGCCAAGATGATCAAGAGTCCCTACACATTATAGTTGATGCAGAAATACCACTGACATCCCTACTGGATGGTGAGAGCGGTCCCTTCCCATACAAGCTGAAATTCTTCAAGACACTAGCAATGGGAACATTTCCAAGTCAGCTCACACTTACATCTCAAAAGTGTCATTTGTGACTGACCACAGTTATATGAAGATTGAGCAATAGCACAGGATAGGACTGTGGCCCAGTGGAGCAGAATGACAGTGGGAAAAAAGCACTGAGAGAGCCCCAAGCCTGTAGGATATTATCCTTGCCTGCCAGAGGTACAGGTGCGTGCCTGGAACCTGAAAGAGCCATGTTCCATACCCTGCCCCGGCACTGACCTCCTGTGTGACCCTTTGTCTCCCTTTCAGGATGCCCAGGGGGAAATACCCTCCTCACAGGTCCCACTAGAGCACTTGCCAGTTTCTCTAAACCCAATGTTATGTTGCTGCAGTAGACTTGGAATGAATGAATCATCTGCCTCCAAGTATCTATAGCTCTATGCACATATGTGGGACATTTCATGCACTATCTTCTCCTATGTCATGACATATGCCTGTGATCCCCCAATCCCCTCCCTTTGTTTTAAAGGTGAAAACTTTTTTTTTCACCTTTTTTTTCCTATTTAATGACCACAGTAGAGCATCCTTGTCCATGTAGGCAGAGAAAAATGTCTACCATCACTGGCTAAGAGGTCTAAGCTGGACAGGGGTTGAAGATTTTTCCTGAGGCCAAAGCTCCTGAACTCCATTGTATTATTGTTAAAACAAGCAGATTTTTTTTCTTTGCTCAAGAGAGCTGCCAGTTTCAGAAGAAGGACTCTTGTGAGAACCTGTTCTGTCACAACAGATGGTCAGACTCCTCTCCCAGATGCATGGGTGGACCCATGATTTTGGAAAGGGGGAGGCAGGAACGGTGACCTACATTGCAGAGGTGGCTACACCCCAGCTCCCAGTCTCTTCTTACCACACTGGGGTGAGCAGACTGCACCACAGGAGTAGCATCAGGGATTTCTTCTTAAGTCTCTCAAGCAGATAATTTTCCCTTCTCCCTCTCTTCCCCTCCATACTCAGCAATACATTCCCGCCCCTCCCATCCACTCCTTTCCCCCTCCCCTCCCACTCCTGCCACTGTCCCCAGGTGACCCAAGAGGGGCTGTGGGGGGTGACCCAATATGGGGTGGGGGCTCCAGAGCTGCTCCTGCTTTGCTTTACCTGGGCTGCAGATGAAGCCAGACTTGGCTTGAGACAGCAGCTGCAGTGGTGGCAGCAGCAGCAGTGGACAGGTTTCCTTCCCCCATGCCCGCTGCGGAGCTGCCAGGGGGAACCAGACAAGGAAAGGGAACATCTGCTGTCTTGGCCTAAGCCCAGCTCCATCCAGAGCTCACTTAAAGGAGGCAGGAGCAACTCTGGAGCTCTGCCCTTGCCCTTGCCCCTGCCCCTGCCCCTGCCCCTTGGGACAGCCAGAAGTAGTGGCAACAGTGGTGGGGAATGGAAGTGGGAAGAGAAGAAAGGTGCCAAAGAGAAAGGATGGAGGGAATTCTTACCCAATTTGAGGAGGACTTAAAAAAAAAAAAGTCTCTGGCTGCGTTTTTGCTGTGGCATTGACCGAAAGGGTGGTAGGTCTGTACCACTGTACCTACCCTGGATCTGCTCCAGCCCAGCTGTACAAGTCAGACCAAGTATCTCCCAAGAAGACTGTCTAGCGAAATTTCCAGTTCACCTTGGTTTCATGTTAGGTTGGAAATACCTTCATAAGAGTCTTCCTGATGGAAGCTTGACTCTTTAGGATCCCTACAGACCCCACAATTGCAGGATTCAAGGGGTAGTCCACTCCAGACAGGGCACTCCAAGCACGTTTCAACCTGAAAAAAATGTGCTGGTTTCTTTCAAGTCTTGGTTGGTGTCTCAAGTCAGCTGTTACTTGCTTTAGGGATGGACCTAAATCTAAATCCCTGAATCCAAGTCCCTGAATTTTGGATCTCAGATCCCAATTTTGAACCCAAATCTGCCCCTGCTAACCCCAGCTTTATAATGAAGCCAAAAGACATCCCTGCTGGCAGTCAGTTTCCAACAGGAAAGTGTTTTTATCATGCTGACCCAGCACAGATTTCACTGGCATGCCCATTCTTGTCCGTTGTCATGTGATATAAAGCATCTCCCTAGTCCAGAATAACTCTGCACTAACCCTGCATTTATTACTCAGACATAGCAGTGCTGGACAGCTGAGAAGATAGGAAAAGCTGCCATTGATATCAGTGTGAGTTGCATGGGCAGCATGCAGAATATTCAAGGTTGGAGAGAAGTCTGCAGTCTAGGTGGGAAGTGAAAGTATTGTCTGGCATGATTAGATATCTTGGTAATTTATTTTATGAAAATATCACATGCAGTAATAGTGTCTAACACCAAATAAATTGTTCTGTCAGTGTCAAATCATTGATCTGTTTCTTGGCCTTAACTAGTCCCTTCCAAAGCATTTTATAACTCCCAATGGACTGTGCTTCACATAATGAGGCCCTCTGTAAAGTATGTCACTTCAATGTACAGATAGGAAAACTGAGGCATAGAGCAATAAAGAGTTAGGAGCACAATCCAGGATGGAACCCTCTTCCCTGCTTCCTCTGCCAATACATTTAAATAAATCCAGGACCAGTTACTTTTTTAAATATCAGTTTAAATATAATATTGGCCTCTTGAGGACTCACCCAAAGTACTGCAGCTTTTCATGGGATGATGGACTAGATGACCTCCTGAGGTCCCTTCCAGCCCTAATTTTCTGTGATTCTGTGATGTGTCAGGGCCCGGACTAATCTTTATTCAGCACTCAGCATTGATTGGTTGGCCATTTCTTAGCTAGAAAAGCGGCTAATCAGGAATAGTATTGCAGGCCCAGGCCATGTGACCCACCCAGAAAGTTCCTCTTAAAGAGCTGTCTGGCATGGCTAATGTGAAGAATTCTAGGACTGAGGGACCGAGTCCTTTTTGGTTGGTAATCAGAGTACAGAATGCTTAGAGCCTACACAAACCTTGCAGGGAAGTTTTCAGGTCTTCAGGAAAGTATTGGTTTGATTCATGACTCATCTCATGCTTATGAGTGCCAAGTATAGCTGGAATGGGGCTGCGATGGAGTGGAATTAGGCACAAATGCATACTGGTTGAATTGAAAAGAACTTTACTTACAGACTGGCGTACAGGGACTTGCGTCGATGCACACAGTGTAGGCACGCTCCGTACAGGTTACAAACAAAAGAAAGAATCCGGGTGGCACACCGATGTTTTCTGAGCATGCAGGGTGCGGGGTACGTTGGGACGGTCGGCGACGGGGAGTGGTTGGTGGTTGATCAGGCCTCCAATTTTGCTCCAAGGTACACGAGGAACTCGTTCCCAACGTACACGCGGAGTTCTCCGGCTTGGGCGGAAACTACCCAAGCTTTTATACGGCTGGGGAGCCAATTGCTAGCTGCCGGGGATGAATAATTTACAATGAGCCAATCGGTAGCATGCATCCAAACAGTGCAGCTGCTAGTTTTGGCGGGAGCTGATCACTGCACCAAGGCTTTTCCCGCCGTAGCGAGGCATCCCTTGCACCGAGTACTCGCATCGTGCTAAGAATTCTGCTGTGTCGAGGCACTTTTAATTACTAAGTACAGACAATGCTCTGGCTTCAGTGAAGTAGAAATGGTTTGTCCTACTGCAGACAGCAGAAAGATATACTGCTAGAGCAGGAAAGTCCAGGCCGCACGTTTGAAAATATCTCCCTACAAGATCCTTTTTTTCTCCCTTGTTAAAATATTTAAGTGAACCACACAGCCCTTCCTAGAAAGACAGCATTTGCAAACACGTATTAATATTTATTATGTTCCAGTGAACATTAAAGTATCCTTAAAGTCCAACATACCACTAGGATGACAGTCAGGAAAGAAACTGTATAAATTCTGATTGCTTTAAAAAACAGATATCTTCCAGGCAGATTTCTTTCTCTGACACAATCCCATTTTCATTCCTTCTAGCTCTGATATATCAAAGAAGCTACCTGACAAGTGTCTGAAGTCTTTTCTGGCATAGGCATCAGCAAGATGGTCAGCTGAGTTCCAGCAGCAGGAACTTTAGCATTTATGATTCAATATGAAGCTACAAAAGCTCAGCTGGATTCCCAGTTCCCACAAGAAGCTGGTAGAATTGCTCATTGGGAAAAGCACCTTTTACCTTGTAAAGTTTGTTTAATGATTCAAATAGTGGTGAACCAGGGGAAATGGCGCTGCCCAGAGAGTACCTGGGGTTTGGTTCAACTAAAATATTCACTCTCAGGACTCTCCATCTAATGACTAGCTGGCACCGAGATCTTTCTCTAGTAAAGCACTGCAGCATCTGGTCAACTTCTTGCTGGCTAGTCCTTCCAAAGAGTCAAGATCACAACTCACAGGCTTCAAATGAAGCAGGTTTTGCTTAGGAATCTGAAGTCATGAGGAAAGATGAAAAGCAAAGAAATTCCAGAATTCACAGACTAATTTTTACTAGGCCTGACCTTTCAGACTTGAATTTCCTGAAGGAGGAACACCTCAATAGAACTACCCAAAGAACCTTGACTGCCAAATAGCTCAAAAGTGTTCTTATTTTCAAAGGCATTGATTTCCTATTGAATTCCTTCTGTCTGAAACCATAAAGTTACTTCTCTGCTATGCAAATACAGTTGGTTCCTCGCTTCTCCCATTTTTGAGGTCAGAAGTGGTGGTGATATCTACAATGATTTCATGTTTAGTGAATGAATGCTGCTCCCTCCTCTGCTTTTTTTTTGTCCTTAATGAAGTCTTTGTCCCCTCTTTGGCTCTTTAACAACCCCATGCAACAATATCTATGCAAATGCTGTAACAAATCAGACAAGGTTCTTTGGATAAATGTGGTATCTGTTATTAGGCCAACTAAATAGTTGGAAAAAAATTCTTTACAAACTTTCAGGCACAAAACCCTTCTTCAGGCCAACTTGGCTATGACAAATACCCCCTAAGAAATCAGTGAATTCTACAATTTAACTTTAACATTGCCTTCTTGCCTTTATGCATTCTGATATAGATTTGCACAGTGCCATTAAAGCACTAATACATGGACAACTCTGCCCCAGGAAGGACTCAGGAAGTGATTATACTTAAGAAGTCCAAGGCTGTCACCTTCCCTACAGTCAGTATCTGTGGTCCCACACCAGTGCAAGTCACTTGTCACTTAAGCCACAAGTTGCTTGAGCCAGACATCCCCCAGATAGGTTCACTGCTTCACACCTGAGACAGCATATGAAATAACCCATGGTTTCTTTCCTGCAGACCCCCCGACCATCACAGAATCCAAGAGCAATGAAGCTGCTACAGGACGGCAAGTCTCACTCAAGTGTGAGGCATCAGCAGTGCCTACGCCTGACTTTGAGTGGTACCGAGAAGACACCAGGTAATGGCATTGTCCACCTTTTTCTTCTCTCTTTGAATGCTCAAGAGAATGCCACTATTCTCATTCTCCTCCCCAGACACAAGCATCACAGACACACAAACTCACATCTTATCTCATTGCATCAGACTACCTAAGTAGAGAAGGCCTGATCGGGACTTGAATGCCACGCCAGTTGCCTGATATGGGATAGAAGGAACAAAGGTTCCTTCTTCTCTCATATGAGGTCCTGACCACGTCTATGTATTCCACAACCCAGGACACTTGCACAGGAGGAAATGGTATTGGTCCTGGATCTATGACCAAATGCCAACCCAAGTAATTACAGTCTAGCTACCTAAATGCAAGGGAAGATACTCTTTAAGTTCCTCCATGCCAGTATGATTGAAACCACTGCAGCCATCTGTCTGCATATGAAAAGGAAACGGTAACAGTCAAAGGGCCTGTATACATGCTATGTTTACCTTGGTATAATTCACAGTGGTGACATATGCATTGCACCAGGACCCAGAGGGGAAGAACGAACAGGCATCTGGGAATAGCTGCTCACACTGGGGCTAAGTACAGACAGCCAAAAAGCCCAACACTGAATCAATTTAATCTTTACAGGTTAATCTAAGCTGCATAGATTAAACTGGTAAGTAAGTGAACCAACATTCACTTTTGACTCCAGAAATGCAGCCACATGCCTGCGGTAGGCCAGGCTAGAGTGCTTCTCCCTGCTTGGGCCAAGGTTAGCCCACCCACCCTGCAAGGCAGGGTTTGCGGGAGATGTGCAAACCATTCTGGGATACTGGGGGCTATGAGTTAACTTGAATCTGGAGGGGATCTGGAACAGAAGTTGAATAAAACAATTTAACCTAAATCATTAAAGTCTGATACTAAACCCATCCAGGTTTATCTTAAACCAGTTCCAGCCATTTTGAAAACAGTTTATGTGCACTTAACTTCTGTTATGTTACAGATTTGAACAGGTTTCTGATCACTTATTCCAGTTTATGTGAATTTCTGCCCCTAGCCAAGGTGGCTATGACAGTACCTCACCATTAGGTGGCACAGAACAGGTAATAGCTTACTTGCATATAGCAAACACGTACACCCTGGATTGCTGTGAACACCCAACACTTAAATCAGAGTAATCTACTGCAGTATACATTTTACTTCTGGTTCTCCCTAGGGTGATTTTACACTGGATTCTTGGAACTTACATTTGTTTAGGACTCACGACTTATTTACATTGGTAGAAAGGATGGTTATACTATTGTATATGCATAGTGGGTGCATCTGTGCTTCATTAACGTGTCTTAGTGACTGCACATTTAGTTTAGTCTGTAATGAAGTACTAACTATATGTGCAGTAACTAGAGTTATTGCACAGTAGCGCCAGCTCATGGGGTTTTTTTGTGATCCTTACTGTGCATTAGCTGCACATTAGCCTAATAACACTGCGCAGTAGGCTATTAGCATGGTTTGGTTTTTAACTGCCACACTACTGTGCAGGGTTATTAGGCTAATGTGCAGTAAGTATTTCATGTAGATCTGCCTCATGTGTCCAAACCCTAAAGGAGTGATATCCAAATATTTCCTTTACCAGGAAGGCACCCTTTTCACCTGAATGCTTGTTTTGACTAGCTTAAAAATAAGGGTTGCTATCCTGGATTTTAACTCCACCAGTATCACAAGCTAAAGCAACACTTGTATTTTAAAATATGCTTGTGAAAGCATAGTAGATGACATTTTATACAAAACACGTTTTATCCCACTCAAAGCAAAATCTTGGTTACCTTTGGTCATTGGCAGTAACTTCCACCTTATTCCCAGGCAGCGTATACTGTATGCAGTGTTTGTATCCAAGGTTTGGCCAGTGTTAATTAAAAATTCCCCGTTTTTCACTCACCCATTCTACCCTCTTTTCCTTCTCTCTTACTATCATTTTACCTTTGCCACAGTTTAATTTTCCCTTCCTTTCTTTCTGTCACCTTTTCCTCATCTACTGCTTTCGGGTTTTTTTTTATTCTTTCACTCTTCATTCATCTTCTTTTATTTCCTTCACTCCCCTATGCTTCCCATCATCTTTACCTATCCATCCTTCTCTCTGTTCATTTATCTGCCTCCTTTCTCTCTCCTGTTCTCATCCACCTCTTCTCCCATCTGACAGGAACCAACTTGCTCCCTGTTATGACATTACACGATATATCTCTTTTCTTGGCTTCTCAGGATAAACAGTGCCAATGGCCTGGAGATCAAGAGCACAGGGACCGAGTCCTCTCTGACAGTGGCCAATGTCACTGAAGAACACTATGGCAACTATACCTGTGTGGCCGTCAACAAGCTGGGAGTAACAAATGCCAGCCTATACCTTTACAGTAAGTATGGAAGCAGGGAGGGGAACACTACAAAGACCAGTCCGTGTCTTTGCTGTACAGTAAGTATGCTCCAGAGTGTGCTAGGAGTGGAAAACATTAACCTGTCAAACTCGACTGAAACACCAGTTCTGACCAGGAATGGAGTTCAACTGAGACATATGTTTTCATAGCCAGAGCAGAACATATGCAAAAGCATAAGCAAAGGTTGACAGTCAAACTCCCCATGACCCTTTCATTGACTTTCTTTGCTGTGATTAGATAGCTTAAATTATCTATTTGTCTGTCTGTCTGTCTGTCTGTCTCTGTGTGTAATTTTTAAGATGGTTTATTCTGACTGCCCCTTTAATAAGGAGGTAGAATGTGAGAGCCATCAAAGAGGTTGACCCTGTTGGTCTTGGGAAAGAGCCAAAGGAATGAGTCTGAAAATAGGGAGGAAGTAAATGGCAAGAAGTCTATAAAACAGGAAAAGGGATGTTCCATGAAAGGC